AGGCAAAAGTATGTTCAAATAATTGTAGTCAAATGAGAATTGTGGTACATTGATAGTAAGATATGCAAAGATTTTTGACAAAGTGAATTATAAGTAATGACTGCAGAAGAAATGCACGAACGTTATCTGTAACCAATCGACACGCTTTCTACAAGATGTAATGAAGGATGATTCTTTTTGTGTGTGTGTGTTTTTGTTCAATTAAAATAAAATAAAAATTTCAAAAAAGATCATCTTGAATTTTAAAAAAATCTATTTTTTATGTAAGGGAGTTTTTGATTTGAGTTTGGAAATTGTGTTTGTTATCTTCAGAACAAAGAGGAAAATGAAAATATTCTTTTGCATACCATGAAGAAGAATAAGAATACAGGTAGTCTTTGACTTTTAACATTTCATTTAATAATCATTCGAAGTTACAACGGCATTGAAAAAAGTGACTTGACTTTTTTCACATGACCACTGCAGCGCCTCCGTGATCATATGATCAAAATTCTGACGCTTGACTCATATTTATGTCAGTTAAAGCTGATGATCCCCTTTTGCAACCCTCTGACAAGCAAAGTCAATGGGGAAGCCATATTCACCTAACAATTGTGTAACTAATTTACCAACTGCAGTGATTATTTAACAAATGTGGCGAGAAAGGTTGTAAAATGGGGCAAAATTCACTTAACAAATGTCTCACTTAGCACCAGAAATTTTGGACTCAGTTGTGTCATAAGTCGGGGAATATCTGTACGGCATGTTCAGTAAAAATGATTTTCACAACCAATGGTATAGTATCCTCTGTGTTAGCCCGGGGAAACAATTACTTAGGCAGGAAATTGCAAAACCTTCACATTGCCTCAGACATTCACCCAAGACTTTGCTGCACATAAACAAAACCCAGATCCATCCAATCTATATATCCAGGTGTCTAGATATGTAGATAGTGCCAGGAGAGGGGGGTGGGGTGGAAAGAAAACCTTGCCTAGACTTGCCTAACAGGTTCACTTTAATCGCATCTTTGTGGGCAAAAACCTTTTGTCTCAAGTTAGATTAATATTAAGGAAGTCTAATCTCAACCTGAAAACGCAAGCAAGGCTCAAGAAACCTTCATTCTAGAGTGAAGGTAAACCAAAGTGGCACATGAAGCCATGTCACCTGGCACATGCAGCCTTGCCTGTTTGTCTTCCGGGTTTCTGGACGATAAGCTGTCCTTCATGTGCAAGGCATTGCCGAAAACTGGTGTGCACATGCACGCCAGCCAGCTGATTTCTGGGTGCACATGCGCGCCAGAACCCAGAAGTTCAGCTTTTCCAGAGTGCAATTCCTTCACATGTGTGATGCTGCCGAAAACTGAACTGTGCATGCATGCCAGCCAGCTGATTGTCCGGCATGCATGCACGCTAGAACCTGAAAGCTCGGCTTCTCCAGATGAGTGTGTATATGCCATTTCCACGTGACCTTTTTTGCACTGGGCGCTGAAAAGGTTCGCCATCACTGTTCTAGAGAGTTGCTGCATTTTATTTTTTAGTTTCTACCCTGCCTTCATGATCTTCTTCCCAAAGACTAGAAGGGAGGCAAGAAATGAAAGTTTTTTTAAAAAAGTGATACAGGTACCCCTCAACGTATGACCACAATTGGGAGCAGAATTTCGGTTGTTAAGCAAAGCAATCATTAGGTGAGTCATGCCTGATTTTATAACCTTTTTTTGCCATGGTTGTTAAGCAGACCACTGCAATTAAATGAATCACACGGTCATTAAGCAAATCCAGTTTCCTAGATTGACGTTGCTTGTTGGAAGCTGGCTGAGAAGTTGCAAATCGTGATCATGTGACCTTAGGATGTTGCAACCATCGGAAATACATGCCAGTTGTTAAGCACCCAAATTTTGATTGTGTGATCATGGGGATGTTACAATGGTTGTAAGTACAGGTATGGGTTATAAATTACTTTTTTCACTGCTGTTGTACTTGTAATAGTTGGTAAACAAGTGATTGTAAGTTGAGGACTACCTGTACATGGATACTCATGAATTCTGGTTGCATTTTGAGTGTGACACAAGAGACATTAAGAAAGATTAATTGGGAGAAAGCCCAATTGACTATAAGAGATAGCAAATACATAATAATGCTAACTTTATTCATTTATCATCAGAAACCAAAAAAGCATATCTTGCAGCAGTCCTCTTATACACTTCCTTCTGTGGAATGATTTCAGTCCCAATATCTAGAATGTTTGACTAGCCCAAGAAAGTGGGGCATGCCAAAAAGTACAGTAATTATGGGATGCCAATGCCCTTGAGGTTCTTCCAGTCTTGATCAAAATGGTGGGGATAGGAGCAATCTGCCTTTTATATCTCA